AATCCATGATAGAATTTTTTGAAAATTTGTGATTTTTTTTTTAATCCATGATCGATTTTTTTGAAAACTTGTTATTTTTTTTTTTAATTCCATATTATTCAAAGGGAAAATGAGAGAGATGATGATTCTGAGGCCACCCTATCCCAGCCATATTATTCACATATCAAGTCCCAACAGCAACAGTGTAGGGATGAGCACGACAATGCAGGTGAGCATAAAGGATGGATAATCTTCGGGGATTTTAGATTGGAAATACAACAAAACACTAACACTCAGAGATTTGGGAATAGTCAAACGCCTGCTAATATCGATGATTCGTTTTTAGATCGAATCAATGAATTGTTAAACGAATTCAATCAATGGCACCAGCGTGACCAAGAAGAACAATAACGTCGTCTATCATTTTATTTTTAGATCATATGTTACTAATTTTATGCTTTATTGTAGTCCATATATGTTGATATACTTATTCTATGATAATTATATGTTTATCCTTTTGTGTGATGTAAATTAAATGCTGAATGACGGTTCATACAGGGAAAGAACATATCAATATTCGCATATTCATTCAAAAACATGAAAATTCTTAATGGAATACCTTCATTTTTTATTGAATTCCTAAAAAACAAAATTTATAATGAATTTTAATAATTTTTTCGAATTTTTTTGAAGCTTTATTCTGACCGATTCACTCGATTTCCGATCCGAATCGTCAATTCGTCGATCCGAATCGATTTTTTAGAAACCCGATCCGAGTCACATATCCTTTTTTTTAAACCATTGGTTGAGACGCTTTCATGTTGTTGGCCTGTATATATTATTATTTAAACAAATACCCATATCCGTCTCTCATCCACTGTCAAAGATGTCTTCTTGATTAACCTCGTGGGTAGAGCCTCTGTATCAAGATCACTTGGGAGCTCTCTCCCACTCCAGAGGCAAAGCCATAGGGCGCTTCCTCAAATTAAATATGAGAGAGAGTGAAAAGTTAATTCACCACGCGTGATGGATAAAGGTAAGGACAGAACGCATTTACTCAACCCATTAATTCCCCACGTTCCTTGCAATCACTCTATTCCCCTCCACTGGTCAACCCAGGAAGATTGCAAAATCCTCTACGGAAATAGCGGAGATCATTTAAATAAATAAATAAAATGAACAAAAAAAGGGAGATCATCTACAATAAAATCATTGCCATATGATATAAAGAGGTCTCAATTACATGCAACCATTTCATGAGAGATTAAATAGCATAGAAAAAATTTATTTTAAACTTTAAACTTGATCAATGAAACAAATTCATCCGCTTAATTTCACATCTAATGCTCAAGATTAATTGTAACCAACTTATATCAAAGATAAAAAGTCTACTTATATCAAAAATAAAAAGTCTCTTTATATATTTTTTAAAAAAAAAGTAAATAAAAAAAAAAAAACCTCATGTTTTTTAATTTCATTTTTTAATAGATTCAATGTTTCAAAATATATATTGAGATATGAAAATCTCATGTATTATATCTTTTAACCCCTCCATCAAATATGCCCACTATTTTTTTTTTGGCACAAACAAATCACATGCCTTTTGTAAACCCCATACTCTCTCTTATCTTTTTTTTTTTTAGTTTTTTAGCCCAAACAAATCTTAAAATTATATATATATATATATATATTATTTATTAAAAAATAATATTATGAATGGAACACAAATAAATCTTCTTCTCTCTCTTTTCTTGTATTGGAAGACAGGGTTTATAAAAAACATATGCCTTTAAGATTTGTTTGGGCTAGGAAATAAAATCAAAATGAATAAATTTGGTCAAGAGGTTAGAAAATATAAGAGAAAGGTTTCTATACTTCACATAGAGCATATAAAATCTATGATTTCCCTACCATTCAACCGTCCAATTTTGATCAAGAGAGCCACTCACCATTTGATCTTAGATCTGACGTTTCAAAGTATTTTATTTTTAGTTTTTTATACAAATTGTTTTTAGTTTTTTATACAAATTATATGAATATGAAATTTGATACGTGCTATCTTCTCATTAGGGTGCACCTATAAATAATATTAAAAATAATTTTTTGATAAAATATAATGACTAAAATACTTTTTGAAGATTACAAAAGTGTTCTGGTTATTTTATTTTATTAAAAATATTTTTTTTTTATATCTGGTGCGAGTTTAATAGAGGATTGGTCATACAAAATTCAGTATCAAAATAGTTTATAAAAAAATAGTGTAAAGATGTGACATTATAATTGGGACAATCTTAACCCTCCATTCAGAAGGGACAATTGATTTAAGGAAAGTATATATGCTCTATGTTGTAGGGGAAACATAGAATGCTTGCCCAATACATGATACATAAGATGTCTATGTCCCAAAATATGATTTTGAGAACTTGGATCTATAGATAAATGAAACCTAAAAACAAAAGGTAGTAAAGATATTTTTCATTTTTCCTAAAAATAAAAACTTGCCCTCCCAAACCGAATGTCTAAGACCGAGGAACAGACTTTACTAAACATGCACACAAAACAAAATAAGCGACACGATGTACCTAAGTGTGGGGCGGCTACCACCACGACCCGACCCCTTTTGTCTCTTAAATCAATATTGTTAATTACAAAAATGGCTAATGCCATTCAACCCTAATCAAAGAAAACAGAAACCTTGTAATCACACTAATAGCTGCTGCAACAACAACCATAGACTAAATATATTCTGAAAAACAAGTAAAACAACAAAAAATTGAGAAAGGGAGGAGGGATTAAATCCCTTTGTTTTTCAATTAATTAATTAATGTGAATGAGCAACAACCCCTTGGTTTCCAGCCAGCATCAAATACTTATCTCTTCTCGTAAACATGGTGCATTCAAAGTCCAGGGCGTTGGCCAACAGGGCCTGCACCCTGTTAGCAACATGCACCCCATTCCCGGCCTGGGCCCTAACCCTTTCCAACACCTCCACATCGTAACAGGGGAAAGGATTCATGAGAAAGAAGAAGGAATCCAAAGACTTGAGCCCACCGGCGGTGGTTCCATAAAAGAACCCAACCCTCACATCCAAGGCCACGGGAACCATGTCATGCTCAAGCTCGGCAAAGAGCGGACTGAACCTGAGCAAGTAGGGCTCGCGGCAGGTGGTGCCCTCCGGGCACACCACAAGGTCCCCCTGCCGCAGAAGGGCCTGCATGGTGGCGCTGTCCCGGGACCTGTCGCGGGTCAGTCGCACGGTGTGCAGGGGAGCGAGCAGCTCGGACATGCGGCTCAGGCTGTATGTGACAGATGTCAAAGGGCGGCCGAGGACAGTGCTGAGGAAGACGGGATCGAGGAGGGTGCGATGCGTGCACACATAGACTAAAGAAGATGACGATGAGGAGGAGGGTTGTTTGTCGTTTGACCGGAACCTGATGCGGATTCCGGTGAGGGCTCCGAGGGGACGTGCGAGGGTATAGGGGAGTGATATGCCGATGAGGATGCGCAGGATGGAGAGGGCCAGTGCCAGTGGGAGGTAAAGGAACATTGCGAGGGAGGCGAGCGGGGTGGGGGTGAAGGCTAGGCGTCCGTCGTGGAACACCAGGGGCTTCGGGTACTTGGAGCGAGGGGTCTTCGACTCTCTGTTTCCCACCACAATGTATGATTCCTGAAAATAGGTTAAGAGTGAGGAATGGGTGTGAAATAACAGATAGAGATGAATGATGATGAGGATGAGGATGGATCCATGGGGGAAGAAGATGCATACATACCTTGCAGAGAGACATGAAGAGGTGGTCATGGAGGTTAGAGCTTCCAAGACCAATATCGGGCTTGCACTCCTCAAAAATCTCCTTCAATGCCTTGTGTTTCTTCAAAAACCCATTTCTGGCCACCAAACCAGTGAAGAACCCACCAAGTACCTGTAACTCAGTCCCCATAACCCTATCAACCCCCAAATAATCCACAAGGAAGTGCTCCACCATAACCCTTGGAACACTGGTGACAACAACCCTCTTCCCACAAGACTGCAACAAGTCCAAGGCCTGCAAATGCAAATTCTCCAGGAAAAACTTGGGCAAAACAGCCCTCCCAGCAATCGATACATCTTCAGGCCTAAGCCCACAGAAAGATATAAACACCATCACTCTCAATGCTAGCTCATGGGTCATAAACCAGAGGGAAGGATAGGCTATGAGCAAGAGGAAGGCCCTTAGAATGCTCCCAGCCTCAAATGCAACAAGCATGAAGTAAGGGAAGAAAGATGGGGTTCTCAGAAGGCCTCCATTAATGTCGCAGACCAAAGTTTGAGAGGGCCTCTGCTCAAGAGGAGGGCACTTGGAGAGTGGGGGGTGCTGAAAGTTCGAGTGAGCACGAGGAAAGGCGCGGAACGCGGGGAATCCGATCTTTGTAGCGACTCTGTAACAAGAAATGGCGAGAAGTTGGTGCAGGACCCAATATGCCACCCTCAAGAACACCATGGGGAGCACCATTGCTACCAGAAAACAGTAGGGGAGGTGGTGTAGATACTTACATCCATGATGCTGCTATGTCTATATATTACACAGAGAGCTATATAAATACCACGCTTGCCTACAGATTTACCTCTGTTTCTTCGAGAACTCGCTGAAATATACCCCTTCCCCGCCGCACACTCCGTTCGGTTTTTTAAGAGAATTTATTATTATTGGATAAATAAGATGAAAAGAAATCATTGTCCTTGAAGGTCACAATTACTTACAAGTTACAACCATTTTATATAGATATAATATAATTATTTTACTTTTAATACAAGAAAATCAAAATTACTGTAGGATATTGATTGTGAAATCAAGTACCGGTTGTCTCATTCCCTAAACACAAAGTCTAAAGTGATTTACGTACACTACCTTACTAATGGAAAAATTAAAATGATTTACGTACACTACCTTATTAATGGAAAAATTAAAAAAACATTTAAAAAATAATCAAAATTTGAGTTGACCGAGGTGTGATTTTGAAATATTAAAAAAAAATAGGTCAACCGACTTTCTTTGTAATTCCACCAATAAATGGAGTATTTCATATTTTACCTAAAATTTTAAAACCGGTACATAAATCACTCAAACAATAATTCTCGACCTATTTGTTACCTAAAATTTAAAATTGGTACATAAATCACTCAAACAAAAATTCTGACCTATGAAACACACTTTAAATTGTGGCAATTCGCATCCAATAGCTAAGGATAAGTATGTTCTCCTTATTCCAAATTTTAATCACTTTAAATTGTGGCCATTCGCATCCGATAGCTAAGGATAAGTATGATCTCCTTATTCCAAATTTTAAATTATGTTATAGCACACCATTGCATAAGACAAAAAAGGCAAATTAGCATTTTGGGGACATATTTAACGTATTCATACTGAGCCCACCGACTGTAGTCGTTGAGCCTCTTAGTTCAAATCCATCTACCAACCTACCCATCATGCCCCTCAAAACAAATAAAAAAGAAAAAACTGGTTGTGCTGCACTCGAAATCATCTAAAAATTTATGGTGGAGAAGAACATATGTAGAGACTAGTAAGATGCAACTGTTATCTGCATAATATGATATTGATATAAATATTAAGTAATACATGAATGAGAAAATATGAATGTCTTTTTATTTATGCTATAAAATTGAATATTAGAAATTTATCTAATAACATTTGAGTAAATTACTAGTCAAATTCGATATATAAATATCAAAATTATATACAAATTTGTAGAAAAGAAATATTTAATTCAAATTTTAAAATTACTACAAAAGAAAGAATAAATCAGATTTTTATAAAGTATGAACTATATTTATTTTAACTATAATAAAATTACAAAAATATATTTATTTTAACATAATTTATATTATTCCTAAGTATCATAATTGTAGCCTGGCATGAATTATATACGATCACCATAAATTCCTCAAAAAATAATTGCGAGAATAACTTACACTATAATTATTAATATAAGGAAGGAAAACTCTTTTAAAATGCCCATGGGTGAAAGTGCACAGTGATTTCGCCCTGTTGCGGTTTTGCATGAAAAAGCGCAATGACTCTCGTAAAGCTGTTGTTATTTAGCGTGAAAAAGCACAACTCTTGTAAAGCCGTTGCGATTTCGAATGAAAAATCGACCGTAACGGACCTACTGTGTATGTGGCGGTTGATTTTTCCTTGCAGTCCAAAAAAAAAATCAGATGACGGCGAGCCTAGAGGTGAAAACATTGTTCATTTTCTGTAGTGTTATCCTATAAGTAATATTAGAAATATTATCTTGTCACTATTGATTATAAATTATAATTCCAAAAATTATTAATTAAAATTTATTGGTAAATATATTAACTAAAACTTACTGACTAAAACTATAATTATTAATTGAAAATTATTGACTAAAGTTATTGATTAAAATTCTAATTGAATTATAATTTTAAACGAAAATTTACTGTACACAATATCATAAAATTGACAGTCGGAGTAGAAAGAGAGAGAGATTGAGTGTATATAGGACACAATAAAGGATCATGTCTAAGGTAGAGGGAAAACCAAGAGTCACTTATGAGGGAGAGAGGGAGGAGTTTGAAGTAGGAGACAATAATAAAGTAGGAGTTACATGGATATGCTTTATTTAGCCTAACATTAATTAGGTTAAGGATCCATACATTCTCGAGTTTAAAACATATGGATTAATAAGAGAGGGAGTCATCTTAAAATAGAAAACTTATCATAATAATGAGGAAATAGAATCATTAAAGGAAATAATCAAGGGTGTGGTTTGCATAAGGTTGCAAACTTAAACAAGCCAAGGCCCCGTCTATATTTTATCATAAATGTAATTTTGATATAAAAAATATTTATAATGGCTTGAGAATCTATTTTTATCCTTAATTATAAAATATAAACTCTAAAAATAGTTCAAATCAAGTAATTTATAAACACATGAAGATCTTGAAAATAGACCGTCCATATAATGTGTTGCAAGATACACTATTTCGCAGACTCATAATCTTTTTTATTATTATTATTTCAAAAGATTTAGTGCGAGGATCTTTCCTTTGGAATAAGGCCACGAATTACCCACAAAGTCAAAATGTATATAGGTTACCCACCATCCCAATAGCAAAAGAGAAAGGAGGTAGGCCTCTATCAAAATCCCAAGTGTAGTTGGGATTTTGGGGGGTTGGCTTGGTGACCGCCTTGAGGCGACGACTTTCAGTTGCAGTTTTTTCAAATTTCAAACCTCGCACCAAGTTGGATGAGCTATGGACGGTGGTCATATCACATGTAACCTACAACTTTTTTTTAGAAATCATGTAACCTGCATTTTACATGCGCAGGATCTCCGGCACATGCATTCAAGATAAGGGAAATTTATCGTCTGTAACGGTTTTTTAAACCATTATAACAAAAACGCCCAAAAATATACCGTTATTATTTAGAAGGATGGCCTTTGACATTTTTTATTTTTATGGAATTTGTCCCCAGTCCAGATTTTAAATCATCGGATATATTGGTAACATCGATTGCCCATTTAGACCTCATTGTTTGAAGGTCATTGTTTGAAGGTGTAAAGCGGTCCGATGTTTCTAATGTCGAACTGCAGTTAAACTTCATTTTCTAAAAAACTTTAAGGAAACATCAGACCGCATTTAGACCTCAATTTTTGAACATTTAATGCATCCACAAAATCAAAAAATAAATTTAATATGCGGTCCCAGCCCTTTTGGTTGGCACTCACAAAGTACTTCAGATACTCCTCCAGTAAGGCATTTGCCCTCTCAATCTGGCCATCCAGGGATGAAGGGTTGTCGAGAAGTTTAGTTGGGATGCCAACAATCTAAAAACCTTCGCCCAGAACTTCTTTGTAAAAGGATCCCTATAGCTTATTATGCTGCAAACTCAGAAAAAAAATAATTAAAATTGGGGGGATTTTCAAATTTAATTCTTCCCATCTTTTTCATTCTCGAGTACAAAGAAATCAACCTAAGTTGGGTCAGACTGGAAGGGTTATGGGGCTGATTCTCATGCTGGCTAGGCCCAATTTTTTGTGGAAGAATAATTGATCTTCTGCTAATTGAACCATAATTTGGATCGATTATGTAGTAATCGGTCTTCTTCTTTAGCCCCACTTAAGGTCCAAAAAGAAGTTTATAGCTTTTCGCCTAGGGGAGATTTTCTCTCCAAAATCTTTTCAAATTTTGAACTTAAAACCCTAATCCACCATCTTGTGTTTCTCTCTCTTGATTTTTAATAAAATAATTTGAAGTTTGCTTCAAATAGATCATATTCGAGCCCTCAAACCAACCCTAAACACTTTATTGGATCAAAAAGCAAAATATAAGAAATCGAGAGTTCAAGAGTTCTTTTTCAATTTTTTTGAAATTTGTCCCAAAATTTTTCTGCCCATTTATCGACGAAATCCATAACAAATGTTTTTGAAACAAAACCAAAAATCTCCAAAATGGATTTCTTTTCCTCTATTTTACCACCATTTTTTTTCTTAAAAGTGTTTTTCCATTAATTTATTTTTTATTTTGATTTTGATTTATGCCTCCTGTTACCTGGAATCAATCATTTGATTTTAAAAATGATAAAAAGCTTCTCTACTTTTGTTTTTTTTTCTCTATTTATATTTTTCTTTTCAAAAATGTTTGGCCATATTAAGGATAAGCCGACTCGCCGTCGACCGGTTCAGCTCAAGCTCGGTAGGTAAACCGGTTCAGACTGCTTGTCCCACATTTTAAAATACTACTGCCCCCTGGCCCCGACCAAAAATTACCATTAGTCCTTAGAAGGGTTTGTCTTACCGCACAACTCTCTCTCTGATCAATTCTATCTCGCACCAAAATCAATTTATTTTTTCAAATGGCTTGAATTGGAGGTGTATAAAGTAGTCAAATCAAAATCCCTACCGTGATTGAATTCACGATAAAAATCTGACGGACATCAAAATTAGTGATTTTAGTTCTCAAAGTCAATATCTGAAATACAACATAAATGCGTCGTTTGGATTCTACAGTATCTAAAATCATGTTTTGCAAATTCAGGGTATTTGCACAAAAGCATGTTTGGTGACTTTTTGGATCCATAATCATGTTTTCTGTAAACAAAAGCAAGAAAGAGGGCCGAAACATGGGTGCACAAAGTAAAAAAAAGTTAGCTTATCCAAAACCATAGTTACCAAAATCTCCTCATTGGGCCTCACGACTCCAGTTCTAAAAGCTGTTTCCTCATTTCTGTTAAGGAAACTGGATGGAAACCATTTTTTGAAATCAATGAATCTTGATTTCTTAATTCAGAATCTGGATTCCATACAGACGTGGAATCCTTTTTTTACAAACAAGGAAACTTGATTCCCTAATTTCAGAATCTCAATTCCTCACATATGTGAAAACTTTTTTTCAGAACCAAGGAAACTTCGACTCCCTAATTTCGAAATCTCGATTCAACACTTCTTTAGGAAATAGTTTTTGAAACCAAAAAAACTCATTACTTTAATTTCGGAATATCGATCCAACATATCTAGAAAATCTTGAACCCACTACTTGTGGGTAAACGCTCCCAAATAGATCGAATATGGATTCCCGCAAAACTTAAACTTTGATTCCCATGTCAATTGATGCACGATTCTACATGTAATGAATCTCGTTTCATTAGGGCTTTGAATCAAGATTTCACACCGTATAGAACTTCGGTTCGTAGGAGATTCAAACAAATCGCTTTTTTGTTTTTTCCTTGAGCTTGTGTAATTTTAGTCTATTCTCCTTTAACTACACCTCCCACAAGATACTCAAAGGATCATGACCTTTGAGTTATAAATTCAAAGCATACCTATATAATTCAAACAAGACTAAAAAGTTTCCTTTAACTACACCTCCCTCTAACCACGTTAATTCCGTTCTAAATGCTTTTGGCCCTTTAACTACTTCCTCTATATTTAAAAAAATGGGAATATAATATGAAGCTAGCTTAGTCAGAGCATTAACTTTAACTTAAAAAAAAACTATTTCCTATTCTCTTGACATAAAAAATCTATCAATTTTACTCGTAATCAAATTGCCCACGCTATTGTGGGACCAAGTAAACTAAGTTCCATGTAAACTAATAATTTCATGCCTTAAAATGATATAATTAAAAAGCCGCACAGATTGATTCAAAGTTGAATTTGTGGAATTATCATCAGGCCATCTAATCAAATTAAAACCACAAGCACTACACCAAGGCAAGATCAATTCTACAATTACATTCGAAACACTAAGCAAAACCCTTCCTTTAGCTAATTACCACACCCATTTCGTACTATCCACTGGACCTTCAAAAACAAGCACACAAAATCTATAAAGAACTTTACATCCAAACTTTTTAAAACTGAAGCATCCCACACCGTTCAGATACCACCCGAAGATCCTAAAGCATCAACACCAGAAAAACCAACAGTACTCCTCCTCCAACCTTCCCTCACAAACCTAATAGTAGGACTAGGTAACTTTGTTTACTGAAGCAACAAAACATCAGGTTTATGAGTCCTTACCAACAACAGGACTTCACATTTCCTCCTAACATCCCCTAGCCCCCTGACATTCCAGCTAATTATCTTCATAAACGCCGGATGATGATCCATATCCGGTGGGTGGAGGAACCCTGGCAGATATAGAACTATCAGGCTCTTCAGCAAAGGCAACATCCTCCGCATTCACCTCCCTACATAAAATAGCACCAGTGAAGTCTACATTCCTCCTTGCAACTAGTCTGAAGATGATCTAGTGGGTCAAGCCACTTCCTTCCCCATACCTTTACCCTTCAGACTACATGGATCCTTCATAGCCTCACTTACATCCTCAACCTCTGCCACTGATGCATCTAGCAAGCCGCACCCCTCCGCCTTTTCCTTTGCATTCTTGGACGCCTCTTTCTTCCTCTCCTTAATCACCTCATAGACATTTCCAATGGGGATGTCAAGGCCCATCCCCATATATGATCAAACATCCCTTGAATGTCAACTTCCTTATCTTCGATTTCTTTAAAACCATCATGTTCTTGAGGCAAATCATCAACTCGATCTTCCCCCATCACAGCAATTGGTTCAACATTAACAACTTCCTCCTCTAAGGAAGCCTCCACTTCTTTCCCAAAGGAAAGAGTAAAGACTCAGCATCTTGGTTAAGCACCAAAGGCAGCTGCTCTCATTCTTCTCCACCTTCCATAACTACGATAGGCAATCCTTGTTCCTCCGGAGGAACCTCTTTCCCCTTTTCTCTCTACAGCTCCTTACTCTAGTTATCTAAAGCTCTTCGAGAAGCCCTACGGTGTATAGAGAGAGAATTGTCAGAGAAAGATAATATGGATGATAGGGAGAGAAATAGAGAAAGAAGCCTTAGGGTTCTAGCTAGAGATAATATTTTGAGAGAGAGAGAGAGGAGCTTTCCTGATTTTGTTTTAAGGAGATGGGAGAGATGGGAATGAGAGGAGCCAGCGGGTGCATCCTTTGAGAGGTAATGATAAGGAATCACGCTCCAAAGGCAATAATGGGTTTTTGTATCTTTCATTGCAGTAGCCTTGAGAGCTTGGATGTGGGGTTGTAGAGAAAGAGCATGTAGCAATGAGAACCCAATTTAGAGAGAGAAAGAGAGTAGCAGCGAGACCCAAGTTATAGAGAGAGAGATGTTGCATTTACTACTGTAACAGTAAGATGGTAAGAGTAAAGAACAATTCTGTTTAAGGAGGCTGCATGCAAAACCTAGGATCTATTTCAGCCTCACCACATATACTGAGTCGAGAGAGAGTATTTGCATGTTAAGGCTCTAAAGCTTAAATTACATTTCTTTGTGCGTGTGCTTGTGCGTGTTTTATAGCCCTAGTGCAAGGCGCCCTCCTTGCCTTGCAAATCCTGTGTTTTCTATTCTTTTCTTACCTTTCTCTTCTTCTAACTTCTCCTCTCCTCTCTATCTTTTCTTCCTTAACCTCCAAGGAATGTGTGCTTCTCCCTTGTTCCAGGCGATGACATTTGCCGAATCTCCTTCAATAATCCTACCCCCTTCCATGGTAGCAATCAGTTTCAGTCCTTCTAATAGGCCTCGTGTTTCTGCTTCATTTGCTGTTGTGATACTGCAAGGACCCAAATAGGAAAAGATAATGTGGCCCAAATTATTTCTAATGAGTCCACCGAAACCTGCTGCCTCTGGATTGCCAAAGGAACTTCCATCAAAGTTAAGTTTGAAAGAATTCAAAGGTGGTGGTTTCCAGACCGCACTGTTAGCACAGTCACCACTGCCAAATGGTTGCTGATAATTAAACTTTTAGGAGTGAAACCACTATCCTTATGGTAGTTCGTTTCCTTCTCGTAAAGACACATGGCGCACCTATTGGGAATAGGAATCCCTTTCCTTTGGAGCTGGTCTATAGTGAGGGCTCTTTCGAAGCAAGCAATCCAACCAAATGCTTGCACTTTAGGTGGTGCAATAGTGGACCAGACCTTGGAGAGAACAGAGGTTGGATTGAGAGGGAAGGTAGGTGGTTGCTGGAGCCTTTTATAAAAAGAGGCCATCGAGAATGAGCTAGAGGGGGAGGGAGTCAACACCAAGGCGTCCATCCCCGAGAGAGCAAGGAAGGTGGAATGAAGGGACGCCGATAGAGAAATGAATTGCATTGTTTCCTCTTCAGAAAGGGGCGTTTGAAAGAGGGGTTCTAAACCCTGCGATTTCCGGAGATAATCATCTCTTTTGCTATAGTGGAAGATTTGTTAGAGCAATAGAGTAGAGGGAGGGGAAGAGGTCCATTAGAGGGGTGTGGCCTAACCAAAGGTCAGACCAGAAGTGCACTCTAGCTCCATCTCTTGGATGAAGACGGAAAACTGCTTGAATAGGGACAGGGACGCCAAGAAAGACTTCCATGCGCCTGATACCCTGCTCGGAGATCTCCCCTCGAGAAGCCAAAAATCTGTTGGAATTTTATATTTGCTGCGGAGAACCTAAGCCCAAAGTGAGTTGTTCTGAGTGGCCAGTCTCCACCACCATTTCCCTAGCAAAGCTAAGTTGTGTTTCTTTAAAATTTTGATACTGAATCCTCCCTGGTATTTTGGAAGGCAAACCTTGTCCCAGGAAATAAGGTGACATGTTTTTGGCTCAGCTTCTCTTGACCAGAGGAAATTCCTCATCAATTGATCTAGGCAGTTAGCTACTAAGACAAGCATGTGGAATAAGGACATGAGGTAGACGAGAGAGTTAGCCAAAGTTGCTTTGATGAGCGTGGTTCACCTTGCAAAAGACAGATACATGCCTTTTCAGCCTGCCAAATGCCTGACCACTGTCTCTTCTTAGGTTTCCCTCGACCCAAAGGTACACCAATGTACGTAGTGGGAGGTCCTTCACTTTGCAGTCCCAATTGGTTATAAGTGCTCTGGTTTGAAGATTGGAGAGAGCTACCCCAATCATTTTCAATTTTTCTATATTCACTTTGAAACCCATGGCGTACTCAAAGCATTTTAAGAACAACCTCATATTTTCTATTTCCTCTGGTATTGCGTCTAGGAATACTAATGTGTCATCTGCGTATTGCAGGTGGGACACGATTGGGCCATGAGCACAACTATTGAATCTAGAGAGAAGGTCTGCCTGGTACAGGCAGCCAATGGAACGGCTAAACACTTCCGCTAAGATGGCGAATAGGAAGGGGGAGAGGGGGTCTCCTTGGCGAAGGCCCATTGAGGATGGGAAGAAATCCTGCGTGGATCCGTTGATGAGAACAGAGAAGTGTGGGTTGGTATAGCAGCCCCTCATCCACTTCCTGGAGCGAACCCCAAACCCCATTCTAGACATGGTTTCATCTATAATTGACTAGTCAACGTGGTCATAAGCCTTCTCCCAATTTATCTTGAAGATCAGGCCTGGTTTTTTGGTAAGATGTCTAGAGTGCAACCACTCACGTGCCACGAGGGCCCCATACAGACTTTGCCTATCTTTAATGAAAGTGAACTGGGATGGGGAGATGACTAAGGGAAGGACCTATTTCAGTCTGGAAGCCAAAACTTTAGCAAGAATCTTAAAGGATGAATTGACCAAACTGATTGGTCGGAAGTCCTTCAGTTCCTCTACCCCTTCAATCTTTAGGACAAGAGCACTAAAGGTGGCATTGATGGCTTTGTGATGGATTCCGCGGTGAAAAAATTCGTCAAAAACACTTAGGAAGTCTGTCTTGAATGTGTCCCAACAAAGCTTAAATGAGGCAATGGGAAAGCCATTGGGGCCAGGAGCTTTGTCTTTGCCCAGGTCGTTGATTGCCGCCAAGATCTCTGTTTCAGATAATGGGTGTTCCAACCACTGTATCGAAGGGGTAGGAATGGTTTGGAACTGCAGATTGCCCATTCTAGGTCTAGGCACCGAGGGGACCGTGTATAGGTTCTGGAAAAATGCAAGAATGGCAGATTCAATCTCAACTGCTTGGTCCAAGATCCTATTGTCAACCTTAATTGTGGAGATGAAATTGTCTCTTATGTGACATTTAGCAATTATGTGGAAGAATCCCGTATTGTGGTCCCCAGATTTTAACCAACTGACTCTAGACCTTTGGAACCAATACAGCTCTTCCTTTTTTAGGTTGGAGAAATATTCCAACTTGGTTTGAGTTCTAAGGTTGCATTCAGAAGTGGAAAAAGGCCGAGATTCCTTAGTTCGATCTGGTTCTTGTATGGCATTCAACTGGGTGCGCTTGATTTGGGAAAAATTCCCTAGAATGGATCTACTCCAGCTACAGGCTTCAAGGTCAATATGGATAAATCAAAGATGATGGGGGTGGGACTTACAAACGACGAAATCAGGGCACGCATCCCAAATTGGGAATCTAAAGTGAAGGATTTTCCCACCACCTAACTGGGCATACCATTGGGATTGGGAAAGCCTAAAAAAAGACAATGGCCCCAAGTCATAGACTGAGTGGACAGGAGTTTGGCAAGTTGGAAAGGGAGATACCTCTCCCTGGCTGACCGCATTACGCTGGTCAAAGCAACACTGGCTAATGGTCCGGTGTATTTAATATTTATCTTCCACATGCCAGCCTCGGTGGCCAACCGTCTAGACCAGCTTATTAGGAATTTCCTCTTATCTTGACAGGCCGAAAAAACCAGACATCACCTTATCTCTTGGGAAAAAGTCCGACTACACAAATCTCAAGAAGGGCTAGAGATCAGGGATCTAAGAAAACACAACCTGGCTCTACTAGGGAAATGGTGGTGGCGCTTAGCCACCCAGACTAATTCCCTTTGGGCTCAGGTTATTTGCAGTAAATACAGGATCCCGGAACAAACGTGGGTTCCTAAAAGGATTTCCCCGAGTAGGGCCTCAGAAGCATGAATGTCCTTTGCCTCCTCTCTCTCACTGTTCAAACAAACCATTCGATTTCATCTAAGAGAAGGTACAAGAGTGCGCTTTTAGTGTGACCTCTGGATAGGACACACTCCTCTAAGGGACCTCTTCCCATCCCTCTATCATCTTACCTTTAACAAAGACTCTACCATAGCAGAAGAAATGGTCCTGTCAAGGGGCCAAAGAGTCTGGAACCCCTCTTTCAGAAGAAACCTCACTGAAGAGGAAACTAGACACTTCCTCTCACTTTCGGCAGCTTTACACCCCTACTTCCTAGGCCCACTTGGGAGGGACTCTCTAGTCCCTTACTCCATTCGGTACCCTTTCAGTGGCCTCATTCTACAAAAGACTCATTCAACCCCCCACCTTCCCACTTAATCCTATTTTTGTCCTTTCCAAGGTCTGGTCCACCATAACTCCTCCAAAAGTACAGACTTTCAACTGGATTGCCTGTTCTCAACGGCCTCTCATAGTTGACCAGCTTCAAAAGAAAGGGATTCCGATCCCCAACAGATGTGCATTGTGCATGAGTAAGGAGGAATCGAATCCACACATTTTCATTCATTGTAGTCTTGCTTATGACCTGTGGAGCCAAGTATTACAGTTGTTCCGCCTTCAATGGGTCACTCCACCCTTGGTCAAGGCTCTCATCTCATCCTACTTACGCCTGTCATTGGCCGAAGGCTAGTAGCGCATTGTGGAAGGCTGCCATTGCAGCTACCATTTGGATCATTTGGTTAGAAAGGAATGTGATGGTCTTCCAAGGTCACAAAAATGCAGTTTCGATGCTCTTCCACAAGGTTACTACCCTAGTAACTTTCTAGGCCTCTAGCCACAGGGCCTTCTCGAGGATTTCTGCTAACACCTTTCTCAACCAATGGGCAAACATCCTATATCTCCAGCCACAGAAGCTTCAAAGACCCAACAACTGGCTGCTTCCTCCAAAAGGTGCCATTAAGCTTAATTTCGATGGTTGCTCGCTAGGGAAACCTAGCCCTGCTGGCACCGAAGGTTTCATAGACCATCATCGCAATATTCTCTTCACTTATTCCGAACACTTGGGCCATGAAGACTCTCAGTACGCTGAAGCCATCGCTCTTCTCATGGGTCTCGAAAGCTTTAACCATTCATGGGGCTCACAATTGCTGGTGGAAGGAGATGCCCAAAATATCATCTCCAGGGCAGCAAGCACTTCACCAAATCCTTGGTACCTCTCCTCGATTTTTGATGAGATTGCTAACATATGCAACGATATGAACATCTTATGGAAGCATACTTGGCGGATATCCAACGGGTTCGTCGATCTTCTTGCAAAAGACGGGTAGGGCCCATGCTGAAGACCCCGCTCGGTCGATCTCCTTTTTTGTTCTGGACCACAGAGGGCGTTTAGGCACTTAGTTACACATATCTACAAATCTTGTAATCGGGCAAATATATAAGCCCCATTTTTTTGTAACTCACAAGTACATCTTTTTGTAATCAGGTAGATTTAAAAGCCATTTTTTGTACAGGGTCTCTTGACCTATTTTTTGACCAAGAGACCCGACTTGTGGGTACTCTCGGACCCCTCTTTTGTACTCTAACAACAACACAAAAGTTAACTTTCTCTCAAAAAAGATGTGGAGCGCGATGGAGAAAATGATTGTACTCGATATCTTCTTCAGTGGGAAGATCACCGTCTTACCTAAGAATGATTCCTGCAAGTTGTCGTGCAAGCTACTGAACTTGCCTCTTGAGATCTTCCATTTCTTCATCTCTGACATGACATGATAGATCCATGGGAGCTTACCTTCCATGTCCCCTTGTTGCCACCATATATTTATTGGAATCACAAACCCTTGACAGAAAATCAGCAATTCTTAGGCTGAAACCAGAAAGTTCTAGGCTCTGAAATCAACAAATTCTTGGCTAAAATCAGCAACCCAAGTCTAAATTCACAAATCTGAGACTTGACTAAAGATTTCCTTGCTGCTTAAGAAATCTGTACTTTGATAGTAATTAATGTGGAAAGTATATCATAGGGAAGAAAATTCAATAATCTACATATTAGAGGAAGCCTATATGGCAAGCGTCAGTAGCTTTGCACTAGTAACACAAGAAAATATCTCAAAACTCTTTATTCTAAGTTATCTTTGTAGACCCCAATTTATAATAAAAGACTTAGAACCAAAGAAATCATTAATTCTAATTGGAATAAAAGCCTTAATTAAAATAAAAATTTTAATAACATTTTTACCCCTAATAAAACAAATAATTCAATAAGCACACTTTCTCTAATAATCCTACAATCCTAAAAATATAGAAGAATCCCCAAAAAAATTTTAAAAAAAAACTAAAAATAAACACTAAAATTAAAATATATGCCTTTTGAAATTAAAAATGAATTAAAAATAAGAATAATTTTGTCATGCATCATCCCTATTGCCCTCAAGGATATGAGCTTTGAGGTGGGAGTGTGCCTTTCACTTCCAACAAGCCAAGATGCTCTGTTGAGTGGGGTTTGATCGTAAGATTAGTAATAATTTGGGCTAGAATTGAGTTTAATTTGTTGTAATTGGGGTTGAGATAGGCTAGGTTTTGGTTTCTCTCTAAGGTTCAAGACTTAGGCCCCCAAGCTTTCTTTTTTTCTTTTAACCTCTCACCTTTTAACTAAGCTCTAACTTTCTAACCATGCTCTTAACTTCTTCTAAACTTTAGAAAAATCAAGGCTTGAGGTATTTATAGACCTCTAATAAAACATGGGAGGGTAATGAAATGGTTAAATCATACATGGGTTGAAAACTAATGTTCTGTTATATTTTTGTTCAATGGGCGAGTTATTTATGGATATTTTGGGGAAATATCAGTTGTTTGCCCTTGGAACTTTTCAGGCTTCACATACCATTGATTTATTTTGCAGTTTCAGCTAGATTTTGATGGATTTATGGTTATTTTCTCTTCATAAACTTATAGAAAATTGAGTTAATTTTATTTTGCGTCAAAGTTCATCCAAGAACTCATTCATGGAGTTATTGACTTTTTGTCACCTATAGGATTTCGAACATGGCTAGTTCTCCTCCTTTCCTTGGGTTTCTAAGGAGATAGAAAAAGTTCGTTCGGCTCTAGAGAAGAGAGGTGGTATATGACCTTTCCACCCAAAAAAAAACTTTTATCTTATTCTCTCTAAAACTCCTTTGGAGAAGCCCAATATATCTTTTAGGTGGATATCCTGTCTAAATTTTATAGGAATACTCATAACCACTTCTATCTTTGACTAGAGGTCCTCATCATATAGGATTATATTTTTGTATCACTCACTTAAACAACATACAATATACTCCACCCACGCGACCCAAAAATCACTATATGCAAAATGAAATTGTATCCATCAAATGAATGCAACCTTATGCTCTATACAAGTTAAAAGGGTTAAAAACCAAAATATGTTAGTATAGATAATGAATTCCCAAGTAATACATAACAATTGTACAAAACATGCCCATCAAATAAATCCTAGCAACTTAAAACCATGATGTATTAATACATGACAAAACATACATACTCAATACATACTCAATGGGTGCCATCTTGACACATGTAAAAATTTGAATTCGGAATTCACTGATTCAAAGGAGGCTCTGTGTGGCTACATTGATGCGCAGACCCAGTTAGGGTCCCGTCCTTTTGGGGTTGAGCATGCCCTTGACCCTGCCAAATAATCAATTATTGAATAATGAGGTCAAAGAAGACAGAATAGAAGAAACATGTCGTCTATAAGAAAATACTGAAGGTTTCAGTCGCACTTGTGATGCGATAGGATGCTGGCCATATTCTTGCCCATATGTATTGCTTGCATAGTAATGTGAATATGCCATTTGCTGCAGAAAAAATCAGAAAACATAAATATCAGAATTTCTAAACCCATGATCTCACCTATTTAATACAAGTTAACATCTTAACCAAAAAGAAACAAATAAAACTCAGAAGATGTGACCTATTTCATGAATGTATGTAAGACAAAAGGATTTTGAGACATTAGCTCCGGCAGGAATGCGCCTTGGGCACTCCAATTATTTTGATTATGAAATTGTCCTTCATAAAGGACAACCTCTTGAAAATAGGGGAACTTTTTTGCTGGAGATTTAATGCACAAAAAGTCCCCCACAAATTTGTTACACCCATCAAGTCGTGGGTTAAAACCCCACAAACTGGCCAAACAAAAGTGAAACACATAACATGCCTGAGAATAGTACATATGGTTCCAATACTGCTGCTGTTGCTGCTGTTGCTGCAATGCAATGACCTGTGGCTGCTGCGGCTGCTGCTCTTGCTGCAACGCAATGATCTGTGGCTGCTGCTGCTGCTGTTGTAATGCAATGACCTGTGGTTGTTGCTGCTGATTCTGCTGAGGATAATGCCAGATATGAGGGGCATATTCTGGATTGCTATGCATACCTCCATAGTGATCAATACTCTCTGGAGGATACTGATAGTGTTGTGGTGGCTGCTGTAGAGAATTGGGCAAGATAACCATGGGTCCCCGTTGATTATCTTGTTGCATATTTTGCATAGGCCAGCTGTTGGCACCCACAGAGTGTGCCTGAGTAGGTATCTGGTATTGGACATGCATTGGGTTGACATGGCATGCTTGAGCAATTTGCCAAGGTTGAGGCTGAGATGAATACCCATCACTCCCAGCCATCTGAAAATGTATCCCAGTAGGTGGGCATGGGGAAAGAGGAGGAGCCAGCCATTGTTGATGCTGGTGGGGGGGATATCTATGGAAACCAATATTAGGATCTACACATGGCCAGTTCACTACATGGCTTGCATGTGGATCTGGCAATGAATTTGGAACTGGGGGTACTTGTCTTTCGACATGTAAATTTGAATCTACACTAGTAGGAGTAGACTCATTAGGAATTTCTCCATGAATTTGTTTGGCTCCATCAGACGATGTGCATGCTGGATCAGATTTGAGAGAACCATGTTTATCTTCCCCATCTATTCCTCCATTTGGGCTCATCAAAGTAATTGATTGACGAGTGATTTGGTTGTTAGTACCTGGTGGAGTAAACTGATCAGCAGTGTCACAGGATATAGAAAGAGTTTCAAAAGGTGGTGGCTGGAGATCAGTCCCTGTTTTATAAAGATTCACACATTCTATGGATTCTGAGTTCTCTCCCTGAGGAGATCTATTTTGTATGACTTTTTCATCCTGAGCATTGTTCGAGCTTTCAAGCCCATATATTGGCTCGGCCAATGGAGGCTGAGAGTGCAAGTCAGTATTTTTACTCTCTGAAATGGAGTCCCCAGTTACATTTGCATCAGCAATTTGTGCAGTTGAGTTTATCCTACTTTGTGCCCCAACATCACCCAAGCATTGCACATGCTGTGAAAGCATTTTTATGCCATTCTTATCTTCTTCATACAAGGGTTGACTTAATGTAGACTGCTCAGCCTGGATATCGGGAGTTTCCTGGCTAGACATGAAGTGGTGTGGTGAACCACTTGGTTTCCTTGTTGCTTCCACATCCATGGGAGTCCATTTATATGAAGAAGTTTCCCTTATTACATGTGGGAATAGCTTCTTATGACGATCCCATGCTTTTAATATTTCAGGGATGGTGCCACACAAGTCCACAAACTGCAAGACAATCAACAAGGGGTTGATAAGAAATAGATCATCACACAGAACACACATACAATGGTAATATCAGTTAAGAGAGAGAATAAAACTTATGGCTGTAAAACAAATCAATCAATCATCTTAAGAGGTAGGCAATATACTCCCCTGAGAAAAGACAGTAGGCGAAGAATTGCTCATTCTATGGTAGACATTTATCATATATACGGAACTGTCAAGTACCTTACCTCTACAAATAACCTTGATATCTCCTGAAGTTCCATGCCGCTCAAGGAAGGAGATGTATTGGATTCGGGAATTATTGCTTGTGTAATAAGAGACTCCAGCAGAGGAATCTGTTCAGGGCCTCCATGCATCAATTCAAAATGTACTAGTCCCTGCATGAATAAGGCAAGTTAAACATGGAAACAATTGAAAAGGAAAGATTAACCATAAGACCCTAGCAACTCATATTAGTCACAGAAGGGCAAAGGTCACCCTATGCCATGCCAAAAGGTACCGCATCCCACACTCCAACCAAAAGGGTGTGATGCAAAGGGATATCCACCAAGTCCGAGTGGAGAAAAGATGAGAAGGCTCAGCAACCATGGGCATTACGGTATGATAGTCTAAATAGCATGGCTTGCCACCTCACCCTCATCCCCTACCATCAGTACCGTATCATGTCCTCTTAGCCCAACTTTCCTTAAGCTACATCTTGTGCCTTGCCATAATTTTTCAAGGTACACTATAACTCATGGATAAACCTGGCACGCCTTGTGCATGCTGTTGCCGTGCTCTATGTTGCTGTTTGCCCAAGTCTGGAGGCCTAGATTATCTTCTCATATTATTCACAACGCTTCAGAGCCAAGAGAGAAAGTAAAATGCCCCAAATTAGCAAGTGCCCATGTCATCCTTCAGGGCCATTTTGAACAGCAAGGAAGGTTCTTGCATTCGTGTCCCTCAAGCAACTACATAATTCAAAAGGGAGACTGACAAGCCACCACCACCCAAATCTAACATCCTCGTTGGATGCTCATATGCAGAAAGGTCCCCAAAAATCTTGTATCGAGATGATGATGTGCATGCCCCCACCACCCACCATGCACATCATCTCATTGACAAAATTGTTGCATGTCCATTGGTGTCTCCGCACACAGCCAGATTTTTTGTTGCACCATGCTCCAGTCTCTGCATCGTAGGATCACCGCTCACCAGCTTAGCCATAATACATTATGCTGCCTCCTGCAGTGCTCAATGTCCAACCAAAGCCCCTATAAACCTTGATTAAATTGACAACATGTAAGTCAGCCCACAAGTTGATCGTCCACATTACTGTTTACATGGCTTGGTCCCCTCATTGCTCTTCTAAATTAAGATAACTCCACATCCACAAACATGCAACAGTAGAATAGTTGTAAGAATGTAAAATTTGATACTAATAAAAAAAAAAGTGTTCCTGATCTGACATACATCAACTATCCACCCATAAATCTTAGGCAGACTATAGTAAAGAAGAAAACCTTTTAATGAACAATTTACTGGTCAATAGCTCCATCATAATATAATGATGTCTGGAAAACAATTTAAAATTAAACATCAAACATTTATCAATAATAAAAGACAATTAATACCTTCAGAAGTGTTTTACACTGAGGAAAACGTTGTACACCTTTGACTAGGACCTCCCTGGCTCTATCGATGCTACCTGTTACCTGCAGTTAGTTTCCGAAAAATTACTACGAGTTTCACACTTCTATTAAGTTGTCCTACAAAAATGACTCATTAAATGCACACCTAGTAAAAAGAAGAACATTGCATGCTTTGAAAGATCAGCTCACAGTGCATAATTTCAGTTTTCCAGTAAATGCCACACTTTTCACAGAAAGTGATCTGATGATGTCATGCTCTGAAAGAACATCCTTTGCAAGGAGGTGCAAAGCACGACATATTTGCAAGTATGAATATGCAATGTTTTGTAAGTCAAGCAATCTAGTGATGTGCTGTGGGCTTCTCAGAAAATTGTAATTACACACTGATGGAGGGCAAAATTATACTTATTTTTAATTTCTATTTAATTTTAAAAGATGTATACTTTGATTTTATTTTTAGGATTTTAAGTTTTTTTGGGGATTATGGGGTTTTCTTATATTTTCTTGGGAAAATTACAAAAAACCCCTCAAAATATACTTTTTATGCAACTTACCCCCAGCTAACTTTCTCACTTTTTTCCAAAAAAACAAACTTTTATGCAAATACCCCCCCCAAGGGAAAAAGTTCATTTTTTTAGATGAAAATGCCCTTCCCGTAGCACATTGTTGGAGCGCACTTAAGTAGTATCGGAGCCCTGTGACTCAGAATGCTACACTGCCGGAGCGCACTTACACAGTGCTTGAGCACTGTGTTACACTGCGGGAGTGCACTTACGAAGTGCCGGAGCGTTGTGCCCTTCCCGTAGCACATTGCCGAAGCGCACTTAAACAGTGCAGGAGCCTTGTGACTCAGAATGCTCCACTGTCGGAGCGCTGTGTTACATTGCCGGAGCACACTTATGCAATGCCGGAGCGCACTTGCACAGTGCCGGAGAGCGGTGTGGGTAGTGGGTAAAGTAAGGGTAGTTTTGCCTTTTTTTAATTTTTGGGATGGTTGGGGGGTTATTTGCATAAAAAGTTTGTTTTTTGGAAAAAAGTGAGAGAGAAAGCTGGGGGTAAGTTGCATAAAAAGTATATTTTGGAGGGTTTTTTGTAATTTTCCCTATTTTCTTTATTTACTATTCATGAGTACTATTCATGATACTGTTTACATACTGCTCATGTGTTATTGTTCATAGTTCCTGTTCACATGCTACTGTTCACAGGGGTATTTTTAGAATTGTAGTATTGTTTTAGCGATATTTTAGAGTCTTAAATGTTTATTTGGATCTCAAGTTAAATTAGGGTTCCATAGGCTTATAAAAGGTTGGATGTCATATTTTGGGAGATATATATTATATGATTGAATTTTATTTTATGAAAGAACAAAGTTCTTCTCTTGGCTTGATTTACAACACTGTTCTTTCTTCATTATTGCTGATTTTACTTGTTTAAAGTTCAAAAAAATGGTGGATGCAATTTTCCACCTTTCCTTCATACATCAAGTGGTATCAGAGCATGGTTTGAGGACGGCAGGAGATTGTGATGGCTTGTCGTGAAGGTCTTAGCCGTAAGGATGCTGATCTGGTCCAACTCTATTGCTGCGCAAGCGGGGCTAGCAACAACATGCCCTAAAGGAAGAGGAATCTATGTGTATAGATCCAAATCGTGAGGGTTTTTATGGAGAATGGCACGAATCAGAGTCCAACTTAAAGTTGGAGTAGAATGATGAAGCTGCCATCAACTACCCGTTCTATGCATGCGCTCCGCGTTGGGAGCCTCATTTTGGGGAGAATAGATCATGGGATTTAGTTGATCTCCATGATTTGATGGAGAATGAGGTTGATTTTGGCATAGGTCGAAATCAGCAGGTTGTAGATTGGATTTGCCACCAATTTTCGACACATACTTAGATAATGAACAAGATCTTGTAAAAGATCCAATTTATGATGATGATCAAGGTTTCATGGTTAAGCCAATTTTTGACTAAGAAAAAGATGAAGATCTTAAAGATATCAAAGAGGTGGAGCATTTAGGAGATTTAGGGTATTGGAATCAGAATAGTGCAGTCCAAGCATGGTCGACTAAAAATCTGAAACTCGTGGCCTTAGTTTCAGAAAGACTCTAAAATTCAGAAAATTGAGTTTGAAGTTTCTTACACAATTTTCAATGGGAGCTCAAGAATAGCTAAATTTGATAAATTTGCATCAATTCCTCAATATACATATCATGATCCATTTCTTGATGAATTATTTTTACTATGAATAACATTTAAGCTAACAAAGAAGAAGAAGGTGGTTTTGACATTGAATTCATCTTAGCACACTTCAAAACTCGACGGTAATTTTCTCCAACCAAGGGACAATGACGGAGGGAAAAATTACACTTATTTTTAATTTCTATTCAATTTTAATGGATGCCTATTTTTATTTTATTTTTAGGATTTGAAGTTTTTTTGAGGATTTGGGGTCTTCTTATATTTTCTTTATTTACTATTCAAGACTATTATTAATGGGTACTGTTTGCAGTTACTATTAACAGATAGTGTTCACGTGTTATTGTTCACTCATAACTGTTCACAGGGGGTATTTTTGGAATTTTAGTATTTTAAGGGTATTTTAGAGTCTTAAATATTTACTTGGATCTCAAGTTAAATTAAGGTTTCATAGGTTGATAAAAGGTTGAATGTCATATTTTGAGAGATATATATTATGGAATTAAATTTTATTCTATGAAGGAAGAAAATTCTTCTCTTAGATTGATTTACAGCCATGTTCTTTCTCCATTATTAATCATGTTACTTTTTTTTTTTTATACTGTTAACATTGCATTGAAGGAAAAGAGGATATACAAAGATGCCAAACCGCCCAAGGGGCAAGCAAAAGTCACCCAGAAAGGTGACAAAGGAACACTATAAAAGAAAAAAAATCCTAAAAGCCTAAACTGCCAAAAATACATAAGCAAAGCAGGTTGTGCCATCTGATTTTAGTGATTACTCCAGTGAAGCTCCTTGTTTAGTTAGTTCATAGGCTATTTGGTTGGCCTCCCTCCAAGTATGAGTCCAGCTGATTTTACTTGTTTAAGGTTCAGGAACAAGGCCGATTCAGTTTCCCACCTTTCCTTCCTGCATCACATATGCATGCACGTGATACATACATTACGTAATTTTTATTTCTTTGGGAGGTAAGTCAAACTTAGGCTATTTGAGAGAAAGTCTATGGTTCTTGCAAAAGGATTTAGTTCTGCATTATCTCAGCAGCAACAACATGATAACAAAATATAAAGTCAATCCGATGCATTTGATTAGCATATATATTCGACAGCCATGTGACTCATCAAGAAGGTCAGTAAATTATTTTGCACTAATAAATTATGTGAAAGCATCTCTTATGAAGAAATATTTATCACTTCAAGGTTATTATTTATTTTACATTTGCTACAAATCATTGAAGAAGCCGACATATGGTTCTGAATCTGTACTTCTTATCATGCAACAGAGTGTGTGTTAACTGGGGTCAACTCATCACTTGTCTGCATTTTAGCCATTTGTACCATTTTTACTTGTGCGATGATATTTGGGTCTCAAATATTTCCCTAACTTCTCCTGTACAATTATATTCTAGCCAAGATGGATTTGACACTTTAATATGTTAAGCATATGGGTGTAACTATGGATGCGAACCCCTGGGAGTGTGTCGGCTCCACTTCATGGAGAGAGCAATCCATGCTCAGTATACTAAGACTGGGTTTCCTACTTTCTCAGTATATCTCTATAGGTCTTATATAGGCGAGTACTGGTTTCCTAATCATGTTCCAAATCCAGATGGAGATGGAAACCACATCCAAACCCAATCCAACTAGATGGGACATAACTTCTCTTTATATATGCAGCGTGGAGGCTCTCTAAAAATTAAAAAGATAGAGGATCACATGAGATCCCACAGAAAGGCCCCTGTGAAATCCTCTTTGTAGAGAGAGAGAGAAACCCACATTTTTGGAAAAGACAGAAATTGGAAGAAAGCACTAGGTGCCTCTTAGACAATGAACCTTCCTACTCCTCTCCCAGAGCTTAGGTCTCATGGTGGTTGCATATGCTTTCCAGGAGGAACTCCTGCGCATGGTTGTTGTGGCTCGGGATCGGGACCGTGGGATCGTAGTAGGCTAAAAGGTCCCTGTAATTGGGATTGTTGTCTATTCGACATGAGTTTTAAGGATTGGGGATAAAGCAATTGGAGACCATGATCCCACACATTTGAGTTTGTAGTTTACTTTCTAAAGGATTGAGATCCATAGGTTAGAAGATGGAGAAATTCTAATGTCCTCATCTATGGTACCATAGTAATGGAATCATTGTCTTTAGATGCTCTTACCCTGGGCTTATCTAGTTGTCGAAGTGAGGACCTTGCTTGCCAATAAAAGGAAGCCTCCAATAGTAGAATCGAGGTCCTCTAGTTCCAATATACTAGGACCCTAATTTTGTAATCATGGTCCTCAATGCCCTTTTACATCATTCCCCTAGTATGAGAATCGAGGCTGTAGATAGCCCTCAAACAAAATTTCCCCTAGCATTGGAATTGATATTTGGAAGGATCGATTTTCATATGCTTAAACAATTAGGCTGCAACGAAGTCCTACTTCAAAACCAAGAACATTTCACCAAAATGTCAAGTTGGGGGTACAAAGTACAACACTCAATAACACAAACCACAAACTCATTTTTTGTTCAAGGAATGCAAATTACAAAAAAAATCTCATTTTTTGTTTCAAGTATGGGTCATCAAGGACCAATATTGAGGGTAAATAGGTTTTACATCTCCAGCTAACGTATTACTACGTAGGAGGCAGGATCAACAAATAACATTTAATATGGTTAATAGTGGTGAAGCCTCCAGCCATGCCCAATTACACCAAGAAATGGATTGAGAATATTTTTAACAAGATAACATCTCCAATTACCTAGAATTTACTTCTAAATATATTATCCCATACACAACAAATGTTGTAATTTGTTATTTTTTCCACGGTATTGGAGACTACAGAAGAGCATCAAAAGATGAAATCTAAAGAAGATGCAACGAAGCCCA